CCTCTTCCTCCTCCTCTTCCTCCTCCTCCTCCTCCTCCTCCTCCTCCTCATCTTCTTCTTCTTCTTCTTGGGGATACAGGTTGGGGTACTTCTGCATGCATTTCTGCATGGCCTGAAACTGGTCTACACAGTCCGACCCCTCGATGCCCTCTGTGCTGAAGTGGAAGCAGGAAAAGGCCAACTTGAACTGCTCTCCACAGGGGCCGCTGGCCATTCCCCACAGGCATGGGTAGTTCCAGTTAATGTCTCCATTTGGCAGTATCAGCCTGTGCTCCTCATATGGGGGGTTTGTTGGGGTCATCAGCCACCAGCTCTGCACTGCCAGGAGTCTCGTGGTCTTCTTTGGTCACATATTTTGTCTGGTCTTTCCCTTCCTGCTGGCAGTAGGACGTGGTGCTGTTGCTGCAACCAACGGGTGCCCATTTTATTTTATTTTTAGATAGGATCTCACTAAAGTTGTCAAAGATGGGACTCAAATTTGAAATCCTACTGTTTCAGTCTTCCAAGTACTGGGATTATAACCCCACAAGGCTGGGGGGGTCCTAGATTGCTGGATCCTAGAGCACACATTTAAAGTTTTAATAGATGGGCTGGAGTTGTAGTTCAGTGGTGGAGTGTCTGCATAGCATGTGTGAGGCCCTAGGTTCAAGCTCACCCACCTCAACCACTGAAACAAGAAATACAATTAAATAGATGCAATCTGGAGTACATAATGAGACACTGTCTCAAAAAATAAAAAAACAAAAATTAGATGCCATCAAATTGGCTTTTTGAAAAAAAATTGGCATTTGTTTTGTTTTGTTTTTGTACTGGGGATCAAACTTGGGACCTTGCGCTTGCGGGGCAGGCAGTGGAACCACTGAGCTAAATCCCTGGCCCCAAATTGGCTTTTTAAGCAACCCAGTCCACTTCCACTGGCCAGGTAGGAGCAGCTATTCTTCACCCCACTGCCAGCAATGCATGGATACAAATTCCCTTAGTAGTCACCAAGTTGCTCCAGAATAGTCAAAACTATGGGGTACCAGTGTTTTTGTGGCCATCTGTACTTCCTTCTCTGGGCCCTTGCTTCTCATTGAACTCTGTGACTCCCCGGGCTGTGTCTAGCTGTGGGGTTTCAGTGCCAGAGCCCTGCTGGTGGTGGGCTGGAGGGAGGATGGAGTGGGGACAGAGGGGACTCAAGGGAGTGAGTTTCCAGGGACTGGAACTAAGGGAGGCTGCAGGGTGGCTTGGTTCTGGAATCCTCTGAAGAGGCCTGGCAGGCTGGGTGAGTCTTCTATGGGGGGCAGGGGAAGAAAAGCAGCGTCCTTGGAAGGTACAGCTGGGAGGTGACACCTTCCTGCTTCTCCTTTTGTCCCCTCCCTTCGCACAGTGCAGGGGGAAGAGGGGGGAGGGCCCCGGCTAGGTGGGGCAAAGGTGAGCTGCTCCAGGCAGGCCCGGCAGATAGCTACATCCGTTGGATTGGGGCTGGGTGTTACTGAGCACGCCTCACTGCAGCTGCCGCCATTCCCCATCCTGCCCCGGCACCTGCTCTGACCCCAGCTCCGGGACTAGCCTTGTCCGCCGGGCCCATGCTGCTGCCCGGACTCCTCGGCCTCCTCTGGATGCTCAGGGCCCCCCTGGGGGCCACAGGTGAGGGGAGAAGATGGGAGGGGGCTCAGAGGCTTTCAGGGGGGTTGTACCAAGCTCTGGTTGCAGAGACCAGGGTGAGTGAGGGTGAAGGAAAAGGAAGCTGGGTGAGTTGCTGCTGCTTTTACCTAGGACTGAACCGGCCAGAATTTGCATCTATATCCCAGGGTGGGAATAAACTCTTCCTGGAACATTGTTCTTCCTCCCAGACTTCATTCTTTGCCCCTCTTCCTTGCTTCTCTCAGGTCCGGTGCCCTCTCCACACTGGATTCTTCCGTCCTCTGCTTTGGTCAGTGCCCCAGGTCTCCTGCCACCTCTGACGCTCTCTCTCCACCTTTTGAGTCCCCTCCCCAGCTCTGCCCCTCACTCGTGCCTTTGTCCTCACCAGGCCCCATTTCTGGGCACAGTTATTGTTGCCTGGAGATCCTAAAGTCTCTTTGCCTCACCCCAAGGGTGGCTCCTAGATACATGAGTGGGATGCGGCTCGTGCTGCCCTCAAGAGCTCTGATTCCTCATTTGGCACTGTCTCCTCTCTGTCCTGCAGTGACCACAGTCCTAGACCCAACTCCAACCTTGAGGCCTCAGATTCTCTTACTTACCCCGCTGCAGGGCACATCCTGGCTGAGAGTCCAGCCCCACTCTGTGCCCCATCCCCCCACCCCTCCCACCACAAGGCAGACCAGTGACACGGTGACATGCAGCTCTCAGGAAGAACGTACTGAGTCCAATCCCAGAGAACAGGAGCTCAGTGGGCAGGAGGTGGGGGTGTTTCCTGCAGCCCTTCACCCCGGTCTAGGAGACCTCTGGTCCTCAGTGTCACCTTCTGTGAAATGGGCCAGTACTGTCTAAAGACTGAGGGGCCCTATGCTCACAGGCTAAGCCAGTGCTTGAAAAGAACCCCTGTTTAAAATCTTTTGTGTATGTGTAATTAACATTCTCCATTATACCTGCCAGTTTCCAGAATCCATGCCCTGCCTGCTGAGGTCTCTCTTTCCGGGAATTTCCTTCTCTGCTCTGTTCCTGCGCGTCTGCTCCCGGAGGGCCTCCCTCCACATCGCTCAGTCTTTGCAGAGTCTCAGCTGCATCCTCTCTTCCCTTTGACTGTCCACTGTGACCTTTGTCTCCTGAGGCCCATGCCGGGTCCCAACCCCCAGCGCAGCCTTGCAAAGTTTTGGTTTTTTTTTCCACCAAGAAAGGAGATAAGAGAGCCTCCTGGATGGGAGAGAAGGGCAGAGGAGGATCAAACGGTGGGGGCAGAAAGCCAGTGGGGAGGAGGATTCCGGGAAGCAGGTGGAGGGGAGGATGCACCGGGAGGGGGAAGGAGGAGTCTTAGCAGGTGGAGGTGTTGCACACCGTCCTAGGTCTCCAGTCAGCTCTGCGAGGCTGGAGACCAGGGCAACCCAGCCCACTGCTCTCGGCAGTCTCCACCTGGGCTCCGGCGCCGGAAGCCCTCAGTTCCAAAAGGCCTCTAGCGCCTCTGGTGGTGGTGGTGGGGATAAGACCTGTCACATCCCGCCCTTTGTGTCTGGAAACCAGGGTTAGTGAATAGCCTGTGTGGTGTGATGGCGACCTGCAAATTTACCAGTGGGTTCCTCTGTTTTCCGCCAACACAGGAACCCTGTCGGTGGCCTCTAAACCTCCCTTCTCTGCTCTCAGCCATGCCACGAGCACCCAGGCAGCAACACAGCCGCCACCCAATTCCCCTGTTCCTCGCGACCGGGAAAATACACCCACGTCTCTCACCAAGGCCACTTCTGAAACACCTCTCAGTTCTCCGGTCCCTTCCGAAGCTTCAACAACCCCCAAATTTGTCATTAGGGTTGAAACCACTCCCCCTACCCTCTTGGTCTACACGCCCAACACTGAGTGTGTGAATCCTCCCAGGCTTGGAGTCACGTCCACCTACTCCACCACCACCTGTGTGCCCAGGACCCCTGTGCCCCACTCTGGCTCTTCCTACACTATGACTCTTGGGACAGACAAGCCAGTGACACCTACCACCAGCCCCGCTACCACCATGATCTCTCCTCCCACGGTGGAGGACCCACCCTCCACCTCAGGCCCACTCCCAGATACAACCCGCCACTCTTTAACCTCTACAACACGGGCCACAGAACGGACCACACTGCTCCCATCTAGCGTTCACAGGGTGTCTCCGATCCTGGGAACCACCTCTGTGTCTGCTGCTATCTCTTCTTTAACTCCTACAAAACCTGTCTCAGTCACTGCTAGCACACATACAGGACTCCTCTCTACTCCACTCACCCCTGGTACATTATCTACTATGGCTGTACCCACCGCAACGCCCACTATTACCAGGATATCCTCAGAAACTACATCTACAGGACCACCTGCAACCACAGCAGCAACAAGTCAGACGACAGTCACCACCCCCAGTGGCACATACACTGGACAACCCACACTTAGGCACACATCTGATTTTTCCACAGCATCTCTCAAGAGAGAAAGTATTTTCACTACACTGAATGCTTCTTCAAAAGCCACTAAAAATGCACTGTTTTCTGAGACATCCAGCACCTCTCCTGTATCAACAGCCAGCCCATCCACCTCTCACAGCACTCCCAGCTTCACGCACTCAAGCAGCCACCCCACCTACAGCACACCCACAACTGTCACCTCCTCACCCGCCACTAGCTTGGACACCACGGAGACATCCACATCCACAACCCAGTCTTCACTCCGCACACACCCACCCACCATCCCAACCACAAGTCTCCCCACGTCCTCCCTGGGCAGCACAGACAGCACCTCCAGCCACACGGCTCCCAGCACTGCACACACCCTCAGCCACACCAGCCTGTCCTCCTCCTCCATGCATAGCGCACAGACACCTCAACCTGACAGCACAGCTCTGACCCTGACCCCAGGCTTGACAACTACTCTCACAGGTGCTGGAAGCACGATTACCCTTGCTACCAGCGTTCCAGGTACACCTGACACATCAATTACAATGTCTGTATCTCCTTTATTGACCTCTGTCTCACAGACACCAAATTCTCCTGCACCCTCGGAGTTTCCGGCTGATGCTAGTGACTCCTCTCCTACTTTGTCCTCCCTTACTCAGACCCCATCATTACCCCTCAGCAGTCTCACACCGTCATCAGACGTCCCTGTTACAAATACCAGGTTGTCTACTCCTAAGACCTCTGTATCCACTCCCATTTTTCTGACCTCAGTCACTTCTTCAGGTGAGTCCAGCACAGAATGGTTCCCTCAGGGAAGCACGTCTACAAATGCCGTGATCACATCCATTGGTACTCTGATCCCCTCCACTCCGTCAGTTGTAATGTCCTCTCCTCCTCCTTCCATCAGCAGTGACCTAGTGCTCACATCTGCCAGTGCCACTGCCACCACACAGACAGAGGGTATGTCCCCAGACCCAACCTCCCTAGTCACACTCTCCCCCACCGCTGAGTCCACGCCAACACCCACTATCACCAGCACCCTCACAGCAACCACGGCTGCGGGGCCATCTACAAGCCCTGCAGCAACAACTGCAACAGGCCAGCCCACCCTCACCTCCTCTAGTGCCACATCCACCGCAGGATCTACCGTCACCCTCACCACTGCCATTCCCACAGCGGCTCTCAGGACAGAGCTCGCCACTACTGCTGACACTGCTTCCTCCGTCACCCACACAGAGGCACTGACTTCTGGGAGCGCCAACACCTCTCCTGCCATGACCAGCAGTGTGGCGATGTCACCCACCAGCAGTCCTCTGCCTTCCACATCTGTTTCACCAGCCTCCGCTGGTACCACACTCACCACCCCGGTATCTACCTTGGGGACCACATTGCCATCCTCTGATTCCAGGTCCACAGCTCCATCTGAGGTCACTTCCTCCAGCTCTCCCAGCGGAGCTGTCACACACGCCACGTCTGGCATCACCTCTCCTGTCACCCTGGCAGACACAACAATCACTGACACCTCTTCCACACCCACCTGGTCCTCTGTGCCCACCTCACAAACAGCTGAGACCGAAACCACAATGTCTGTGTCAACAGCTGCCCCATCCACCTCTCACAGCACTCCCAGCTTCACGCACTCAAGCAGCCACCCCACCTACAGCACACCCACAACTGTCACCTCCTCACCCGCCACTAGCTTGGACACCACGGAGACATCCACATCCACAACCCAGTCTTCACTCCGCACACACCCACCCACCATCCCAACCACAAGTCTCCCCACCTCCTCCCTGGGCAGCACAGACAGCACCTCCAGCCACACGGCTCCCAGCACTGCACACACCCTCAGCCACACCAGCCTGTCCTCCTCCTCCATGCATAGCGCACAGACACCTCAACCTGACAGCACAGCTCTGACCCTGACCCCAGGCTTGACAACTACTCTCACAGGCGCTGGAAGCACGATTACCCTTGCTACCAGCGTTCCAGGTACACCTGACACATCAATTACAATGTCTGTATCTCCTTTATTGACCTCTGTCTCACAGACACCAAATTCTCCTGCACCCTCGGAGTTTCCGGCTGATGCTAGTGACTCCTCTCCTACTTTGTCCTCCCTTACTCAGACCCCATCATTACCCCTCAGCAGTCTCACACCGTCATCAGACGTCCCTGTTACAAATACCAGGTTGTCTACTCCTAAGACCTCTGTATCCACTCCCATTTTTCTGACCTCAGTCACTTCTTCAGGTGAGTCCAGCACAGAATGGTTCCCTCAGGGAAGCACGTCTACAAATGCCGTGATCACATCCATTGGTACTCTGATCCCCTCCACTCCGTCAGTTGTAATGTCCTCTCCTCCTCCTTCCATCAGCAGTGACCTAGTGCTCACTACTAGTACCACCTCTGTCCCTACCTCCTCCCATGTTTCCAGCACGGACCATACAGGCTCTTCTTCCACCACAGCTTTTTCTCCTTTGTCTTCATCTACAACCACAAGGACATCTCCGGTCAGCTCCTCACCTGCCACAACTCTCACTGAAACCACCCCCTTTTCTTATATTTCCCTTCTTCCCACTACACCCTGTCCGGAAACCGTAACCATTACAATAGTCCCCACCTCTCCCATGCCTCCGTGTGTTGAAGTGGATCCCAACACCAAGGTACCATGGGCTCCCACCACCCCATTCTCAGTCTTTCCCTCTGCTATGGAAATGGTCACCATTCCTAGTTTGCCCAGTGAAAGAACCGTCCTTCCTACATCTACGGACGCCACTTCTCCCATGACTCCAGAAACTGAGCCTGCCCATGTCACAACGGGTGCTCCTAGCTCTCTCAGCGCTGAGACAGTACCCATGAACACGGCGCTGACTAGTGCCCAGACAACCAGTGAGAACTGGCTGAGCAGCAACTCTGTCAGCACCCCGAGTATGGCTGGCTCTGCCGTGAAACCGAGCAGCAACCTTCCAACGGTCGCAACTTCAAGCAAGTTGACACATCCTACCCCTCCCACCACCCGGAGTCCAGAGATGCCAGAGGCCACCACGCAGACTCCGACCACACTCACATCACCGAGAACAGTGTCAAGCACTACTCCGATGACCACAGTATCCAGACTGACCACCACCCCAGGTGGGACTACCTACGTCCCTTTCACTTCTTTTCCTGCCCTGCTGGATTCCTGTCACTACAATCAGGTTCGACTTGAATTCCCTTTCTTCTTGTTTCCCAGGCACCTGTGAAAATGGTGGCACCTGGGAACAAGGCCACTGCACATGCCTCCCGGATTTTCTGGGGAATCGCTGTGAGCACTGGAATAAGTGCCAGAACGGGGGAAAATTTGATGGCTTCAAGTGCATCTGCCCCAGCACCTTCTATGGCTCCTCCTGCGAGATTCCAGTGGAACAGATAGAAATAGGTGAGTTGCAGGGCCCTGTGCTCTGCATGTCCTCCTGAAGGTGCCTGCAGCTGCCTTCCAGGCACCCTCACACCATCCTTCTGGTCCCCCTATCCCTGGCTTCCTTCCATGCCCTCTACTGTCCCATGCCAGACCTCTTCTTCATCCTCACCTCCAGGACCAGGTGGTCCCTGGCTACAGACTCCGTCCTGGGCTTCCATCTGGTCCAGGCTGCTTGGAGCTGAATTCCAAATCTAACACAAGTCTGAAGTGGGTCTCCCTGGGCTAAAGTTCAGATGTCACCAATGCCTTGTTCTTTTTCAAAGGCTTTAGAGCCTTCCATTCCTTGTGACAAGGCCCCTGAAACTGCATCTCTCTATGCCTTTTCTCCATAGTTGTCTTCCTCTTGTAGGGGACAAGAGGTGCTGGGGAATTGAACCCAGGTCCTTGCACACTCTAGCCAAGTGCACTACCACTGAGCAACCCCCTACCCCAGTCACATCTTCTGATAGACTCCCTCTGTCCCTGTTAAGGACTCTTGTGACAACATCTGGCCCATTTGGATAGTATTTGTGAATTTTCCCTTATTTAAATTGCTGATTAGCAATCTAATTTTTTTGTTTGTTTCATTTTTTGAGACAGGGTCTCACTATGTAGTTGAAACTGACCTGGAACTCACTATGTAGCCCAGGCTGGTCTTGAACTCATAGCAACCCTCCTGCCTCAGCCTTCCGAGTGCTGGGATTACAGGCATGCACTACCATGCCCGGCTAGCAACCTAATTTTATGGGCATACTAATACAGATTAGCTATCAAATTTTATACTTCCATGTAACATAATACATTCGCAGTTCTTTCTGGGGATAAGGGCAGAGACATCCGAGGTGCTGTTATCCTATCTACCCCAGGGACAGATAAGGGAAGGGCCACAGGAAGACAGCCACACATCCTGACTTCTTTGCTTCACCTCCAGGCACCTCATCCCAGAGCTGCTGTTCAGCTGGTTCCCAGGCACTGTGGAGAGGGGACAGAGGGAGGAGTAGGTGGGGAGGGGAGGTGGTGGCAGATGGGGCAGATGGGAAGTGACCAAAGATGGGCATGCTGTGTACAGACACAGTGGAGGCTGAAGTGGGCATTGAGGTGTCTGTCGACCAGGAATTCTCTGCAGACCTCAAAGACAACACTTCCACGGCCTACAGAGAATTCAGCAACCTCTTCCAGAATCAGGTGAGGAGAGAGGGAGGGAACGTGAGGGTCTTCTTCTGGAGCTGGGCTTGGGTTCTTTGGTTCCCTCAGGCTCACTGCTCAGACATGAGCCCAGGATCCTTGGCATTTCAGATGAAGAAGATTTACAAAAATGTGGCAGGGTTCCAAGGCGTGGAGATCCTGTCTCTGAGGTAGGAGACCATCCTGAGGATGTGGAGGATTAAGCGATGGCTAGGGATGTGAAGAACAGCTGGAGAAGCCATCCTCTGCTTCTGGAACCATCAGATTTCTTGAAGACAGAGGTGGAGGGAGTATGTAAGGGGATAACTCAGGGAGGCTTTTTGTGTCTGGGGTCATTTCTCTGCAGGAGGGATGACAACTCTCCTGAACAGGCTGGAGGGAGACTGTGTGGGACATGTAGGGAGGCGGTGTTGGGACTGTTGATTTGGCCTCTCTCTGGTTGGCACTGGCTCTACTTGGGCTAGAGAGAGGGGTGGGACAGGCAGCCTAGGATGACACGGTTTGGTGATAGCTTCATACAACACAGGTAGAGCTTCCCTCACTCCTCATCCTAACTTGCCACGGTGAAAAGGATGTGGGTGGCATCCCAACTCATGACTGTGCCCTTGTGGTTGGTCCTGGAGGTGCCACGCACAGGACCCATGTGCCCCAGACCTGGCACTCTCTAAAGCCCCTGGTTCCCCTAGGAATGGCAGCATCGTGGTGGACTATTTGGTCCTGCTGAAGTTGCCCTTCAGCTCCCAGCTGGAGAGTGACTATGAAAAGGTGAAGACCGCCCTCAAGGAGGAGCTCCGGAATGTCAGCCAGAGCGGGGACAGCTGTCAGGATAACCAGAGTGAGCAGGGCTGGAGGGAGGTGTCTGGGTCCGAGTGGACCAGGGCCCCCTTAGAGCTCAGGGGCCAGCCCTGGGGTGCCTGTGGCAGGTTGGGAAGAGGGCACAGGGTGGGACTAGGGAGGATCTCACCAGACCTGGGTGACGGGGAAGAGACTCCTAAGCAGGTATGATGAGTGTTCCCACAATGGCTGAAGACACTTGATCATTCGGGGTGGGGGGAGGTGGAAGGCAACAGCTGTCTTCTCTCTGGACCCGCCACATCCGGGAACACCAGAGTACCCTCTTTGTCCCTCCCCATATCTTCTCCGGTCCCCTCCATCAGTGCCTGTGTCCCCACAGCCCTGTGTTTCAAGCCTGACTCCATCAAGGTGAACAACACCATCAGGACAGAACTGAACCTGGAAGGTGAGGGTGGGGAGGTGGCCATGAGCCCTCCCACCAGAGACAGATGCCCTTTGCAGTTCTCTGGGGAGAAGAGGGAAAGCTTTTAGGGAGGCAAGTGATGTGGCCTAGGGCTGGCCTTCCTGGCTCTTGTTAGCCCCCCATGTGGGCACCAGCAGGCCAGGTGAGAGGGCAGAGGTGCAGGGGACCTTCTCCCATCTGATCCCAGGGTCAGCCCCACGGTACCACCCCTGGAAAGGTCTTACAACGCTTTTGGGGTCACTAGAACCACACCCCCGAGTGGGATGAAGGAGGTACCTTTCTTGACAACTCCTTCTCCAACCCCCCAGCCATCTGCCACAAAGCAGCCGCCAAGGGCTACGAGGAATTCTACTTCCCCTTGGTGAAGGAGAACCGGCTTCGCTGCGTCACCAACTGCTCCTCAGATGTGGACGGTTCCCTCGACTGCAACCAGGGCCAGTGCTTTCTGGGGAAGAGTGGGCCGGCTTGCCGGTGAGGTTCCACCCACACGCGGGAAGCCCCGCCAAGCCCCCCCCCCCCCCCCCCA